AACCCACCCACCCACCCACACAAACACACACACACACACATACATACATACATACAATACACACTACATACATACACACTACACACACACACACACACGCAAACACAAACACACACAAACACACCACACACACACACACAATCACTCACTCACTCACTCACTCATTCACTCACCGGTTGGCGACCACTGGCTGGCCCCGTGGCCTGTGCTTCGGCTGTGTTGACTTCTGCCTCCACAAGCACGTCCATGAGGAAATCAGCCACATTGACCCCAGCGGGACACTTGGGCAGTCCTAGAAACGGGGGGCCGGGTGCAGGGCAAGTGAGGCGGCGGTTGCCACGGCAAAGGTGGGGTGCATGCCGTGTAGTAAGTGTTTGGGTCAGACAGAGTGGGTGGGTGGCCTTAGCTGACTGAGGTGATATATGGCTGAGGCTGAAAAGTCGGTTTATTTGTGCATGGCTACACACAGGCATGCATGTTCCAAGCGTGTACATGTCCTGGCATCATCCAACCCACAAGGTCAATACCTAGTAGTTGGTTCTATTAATAGACGCAAGTAGTGGTTCTATTAATAGACGCAAGTAGTGGTTCTATTAATAGACGCAAGTAGTGGTTCTATTAATAGACGCACCTTGCACCCCGTACGAAGACCACTCAGGGCCGTGATAGTAGGTATGTCATGTGTAGGTACAGTTGGCTATTCGGATGAGGTGATAGCCGCACTCGCCCTGGTGGGGCACTATGGTCAACAGAGCCAGGACAGGGGCGCGTACCCGAGTTGTGTGGTATAAAGCACACGCGTGCACCTTGTCCCGTTTAAAGGACCGGTCCAGAAGCAAAAAAAGTCTATGTACGGGTGTGGGGTGACCCAATTCACAGGTGCAATCAGTGGACTTACCTAAGGACGAGAAGTGGGACACGGCCGCCCCGTGTGTCGGTCCGAAGTACACCATCTTACCCTTAGTCAACAACATGCACTTGTCAAACATCTGCAATACACAAGCGAGTGAACAGACAGGTTGTTAGTACATCTGCAATACACAAGCGAGTGAACAGACAGGTTGTAAGTACATCTGCAATATACACGCGAGTGAACAGACAGGTTGTAAGTACATCTGCAATATACACGCGAGTGAACAGACAGGTTGTAAGTACATCTGCAGTACACAAGCGAGTGAACAGACAGGTTGTGAGTGGGTGGTACAGACAGCAAACCACCTTGAAACAAGAGAGAGAAAAGCAGCACGATTGTCCTTGTGCCAGTCCAAGCGATATGTTATTGCGCTTGGGGAGTATTCACAGTTGATATTTTGGGTGTATGGCCAGTAGGCGTACTTGCCTATCTACATGTAGGTATATATGAGCAACTGCAACTATACTCGCACACTCTCGCATGTACATCTACAATACAAGTCTCCCACACAGCACACACCTCCACCATACCGTGTCACATGCACATACTCGCGTGCAAACAGACCATCACATGGCACGTGCATATAACCACGTGTACACGTCTCACCTGAAACAGCCTCGACGACGGCTGGTGAATAGTGAGTATGACCATGGTTTTCTTTTGCATCACGAGTGACTTGAGACAGTCAATCACTACGTGCGCGTTGTACGAGTCTAAACTGGATGTTGGTTCGTCCAAATATAGTAAGGCGGGCCCAGTCACCAACTCAGCCGCAATGGACAGGCGCCGCAGTTCTCCGCCGGATATGCCGCGGTGCACACTATTGCCTAATATGGTGTGGGCGGGAAAGTGTGGCGTTTGTGTGTTGGGTGTGTGTTGCAGTAGGTAGGTTGTAAGATTTGTGTGCTCGCGTATAGCACACGGACTTATACACAATAACAGATACCGTAGAACTTGGAATCGAAATACAAAAATACACATGATGTACTTGCACACATACTCAGCTACACACAGCTACTACGTCCATGGCTGTACATATATATATATATATGTAAACATATATATATATATATATATATGC